CAGGAGTTGGAGGTTGCTGTGAGCTGTAATGCCACGGCACTCTACCCAGGGGGACAGCTTGAGGCTCTGTCTCAAAAAAAAAAAAAAAAGAAAATCAGGCAAGTAAAATGTAGCAACTAAGATGCAGAGACCCAAAACAGGCCTTGACCTGGGCTGAGGCAAGCTGTGGGCTTTGCCCAGGATGAGAAGGGAGGACTGGAGGAAAGAACATTACCTTCTAGATTGCTCTGGTTGTTGGTGACATCTGATGCCATTTGTTCTGTTGAGAGAAGAGGGAGAACGTATGAGACAAGGTCATGCAGCTATGTTGACCACCACACACACTGGGGAGGACCAGCTATCACCTCGGCTCTGGTCTTCCTCCCCACGGTCTTTGCCATTGTTGTAGCAATTTGTCTTGAGGCGCTTGGGTGGAAGACAATAGTCAGAGGTAGCTGAGTCATCAGCTGTTCGTCTTCTTGTCTTGTTCTCTGTGAAAGGAAAGGAGACCAAAACCATAGCTTGATTGATAAGAGAGCCCACAGAACGTGTGGCCCTGGACAATATAGCATCTGGGACATGATGGGGGGGGGATATGCCCTGGGGGTACACAGCTGCCAATGCACAGCTTGGAATAGGAGCCAATTTAAATCCTCTCGTACCCAAAATCCATGCATGGCTCCAGGGGTTTGGGCATCTATGTGTATAAAAGATGACATCCAGCTTGGCACCTATAAACTCAAGTGGCTAGAGCGCCAGCCACATACACCAGAGCTGGCGGGTTCCAATCCAGCCCAGGCCCACCAAACAACTATGACAACTACAACCAAAAGAAAAAAAAAAAAAAATAGCCAAGCATGGTGGCGAGTGCCTGTAGTCCCAGCTACTTGGGAGACTGAGGCAAGAGCATCACATAAGCCCAAGACTTGGGGGTTGCTGTGAGCTGTGATGCCACAGCACTCTACCCAGGGTGATAGCTTGAGACTGTCTCAAAAAAAGAAAAAGACATCCTTCTACACCCAGCTCTAAGAACACCAGATAAGTTCAATCTACACCTAAAATTCTGACACATTTATATCTATTTTGTTCAACATGCTGGCCATAGGTGGTTACTAAAAACTTGAACTTTAACTAGTGAGCAAAAACTTAATTTTACATTGAAAAGTAATGTTAATTAAAACACTGATAAGGCTCGGCGCCTATAGCTCAACCGGCTAAGGCGCCAGCCACGTACACCTGAGGTGGCGGGTTCGAATCCCCAGCCCGGACCCGCCAAAACAACAATGACGGCTGCAACCAAAAAATAGCCGGGCGTTGTGGCGGGCGCCTGTGGTCCCAGCTACTTGGGAGGCGGAGGCAAGAGACTCGCTTGAGCCCAGGAGTTGGAGGTTGCTGTGAGCTGTAATGCCACGGCACTCTACCCAGGGGGACAGCTTGAGGCTCTGTCTCAAAAAAAAAAAAAAAAGAATCTATATCTGCGGCTCGGCGCCCAAGCAGCTAAGGCGCCAGCCACATACACCTAAGGTGGCGGGTTCGAATCCAGCCCGGGCCCACCAAACAATGATGGCGGCAACCAAAAATAGCTGGGCCTTATGGCAGTGCCTGTGGTCCCAGCTACTTGGGAGGCTGAGGCAGGAGACTCGCTTGAGCCCAGGAGTCGGAGGTTGATGTGAACTATGATGCCATTGCACTCTACCCAGGGGGACAGCTTGAGGCTCTGTCTCAAAGAAAAAAAAAAAAAAGAATCTATTATCTGTATTTCATTAAGCCTTCATTTAGTTCTTAAGATCAAGTATTTCCATTGAAAATTTAGCATTAGAGGGCAGCGCCTGTGGCTCAAAGGAGTAGGGTGCCGGCATATGGGGCCCATATGTCGGAGGTGGCAAGTTTGAACCCAGCCCAGGCCAAAAACTGCAAAAAAAAAAAAAAAGAAAAGAAAAAATTAGCATTAGAATTGAGAAGTATCAGAAGACCTGCATTTTGCCTGTGAGATCTTAATACTGAAAGGAAATGTAAAATGTTTTCAAGTAGCTATACTGATGGATGTTGAAATACTAGTATTTTAGAAATTGGAGGCTAAGTTAAATTTGGTTAATATGAATTTCACCTGTTCTTTTCACTTTTTACCCTTTTCAATGAGACTACTGGAAAAATAACTATGTGGCACCCATTGCCATTTCTATTCAACCTATACAGTGAATCATAATGGACATGATTGAATTTGACTCTGCCCCTAGAAAGAAAATTACACAGCCATTAAAAATCACAAGGACTCTTAAGTGACAAAATGATATTTAACAGTGCCCATATTATTAATAATGAGAAATACAGGAGAAGGGAGCAATCCAACTAGTGTACAGAAAAAGATGGAAGGACGTGCACCCCGCAATGTTAACCTAGGGGCATTTGTGAGGGTGGGAAGTGAGATGGAAAGATTGGGTGGGAGTTCAGGTTGACTTTTGAAGAAATTTGATTCTTTTCCAGTGATCATGTTATATGGTGAGAAATCAAAAGAAAGTGTAAAGAAAAACAGCGTAGTTGATGGGAAGGAAGGGAATACCGTATTTCCTTGATTCTAACTTTCTACTGCGTGTACGACGCACCTTCGACTTATTAACCACTTTTGGGGAGGGAAAAAACAAAACAGAAAACATTACATTAAATGTGCAGCTTATAAGACACTCCGTAGATCTCAAGAAGTCACAAATACATTTTAATGGAGGATATATGGTATTGGTCAAAATGTTAGGAGATGGCTTAAACACATTTTAAAAAGCACTTTTCAGGTTTTCTCCAATGAGCTTAACTTTTCCTTTAAAAAAAAAAAAAGATGCTACTAGTGAAGACGGCATCTTGACTTCCTGTTTACTCAAGTTTTCAGGACTGATTTAGTTCAAAGTATATGCATGTAACCTTTAGTAGGAAAGTGACCAGGGAAGCCAGATGAGGCTGGCACAGCCTTCATATGCCCATAAATAGTCAGGTTCATAGGGCAAAAGAGGAGGGCTTCAGAGTTGAGACCAGCTGCAGAAAAATTGGGTGGGGTGGGGCTACATGGGGGACTGAATGAATCTCTCAAGTTGGTCCCACCAGCAGTGGCAGGGGATGCTGCCATAGGGACTCATTCCCACCTGGTTGGTTGTTGTTGGGTTTGAGGCCCTCGATGCCAGTGGGCTTGAAGCCCCCGTGGGCCCACTCCAGCATGGGCTTCAGCTGGTCCTCCAATGAGTCTCCAGGGCTGCTAGGGAATGTCTTGCCAGCTCTCACCCTGGCTTTCTGCAAAGGCAGAGTCTGTGATGAATGGAAGGGAGGTGCTTGCCAGCTCCACCCAGGATTCTCCCAGCTGGGGGCCTACATTCCCCCACACTGGGCCCTTTCATAGCCAGACAGCTGCCCTGGCCTGTGGTATGTGTGACACAGAAAGGAGGGGCCTGTGCAGGGAAACAGGCAGGCCAGGCGGTGGCAGGGGGAATCTTTAAAGGCAAAGAAATCAGAATTAACTGATAAGGAGCCTCGGCCAGCACCAGACTCATCCCCTGTATACCTTGTCTGAGAAGGGGGCTGGATTTCTTGTTTCATCTCCCTAATATGTATTAGGAGGACCATTAAGATTTACAAGTCTGATTAAGCACAAGGAAACTATTGGCTGGCAAGATGAAGGCAGTTCCATGAAGAGGTAAAAGGAGGGACAAAGCCTAGTGGTTCATAGGGAACACAACATAGCTCACAGATAAAGGGATGAGGCAGCTGGCCTTAAGCTGCAGCCCATCACTGGGCTTGCAGAGGTCTCTGTAAAGGCATATCCCTTGATTTGAATACTGCAGCCCACTTCTTAGTGTAGTGTGTCCTTCCTGAATTGGTTGGCAGTACCCACAGCCATCAGGTGGAAGCTGAGACAGCCATCAGGTGGAAGCTGAGAAGTCTCAAATCCCTCCCTGTCAGCCCCATACCAGACCACCATCACCTTGACATTCACCTTCTCCCTTTTCCCCCCAAGACACCCTTGTCAACAGTGTTCTGGGCTAGCGTTCTCTGCAGGTCTCTTGCTGCATTCCTGCTCTCAGAGCCTAATCTTCATTCCCAATCCCAAGTTACCTCCAGGGCATGATACATGGCCTTCCTGTAAGAAACCAGCTTATTGAAGGTAGCCAGGTTAAAGTGCTGGCTGAACAGCCCCAGGGCCACCAGTTTATCTGCAGAGACCTAAAAGAGAAAGAATCATCAACATCCACCTATATTTCCCTGTCTCACAGGGTGGCCCATCAGAAAGAGAAGATTTTCACACACTTTAACCTGAGGATAAAGTTCACAAAATGTCAGTTTATAAGAAAGGAAAGAGGCTCGGCGCCTATAGCTCAACCGGCTAAGGCGCCAGCCACG